AAGATAAAAAAGACAAGATTGAGGATGTTGAGTATGTTGAGGTTGAGGTTGAGGGTGAACAATCTGAACTATTTTCAGAGGAGGAAGAGGAAGAGGAGCGTGACGATAAATCATCACTTTGTACTGGCAGTGAAAATTGGGCTCAAAGCCGAATTGGAAGTGAAGAAAATTCTAGTTTACAAGACCCAAATAATGAACTAGGAGAAGATGATAATCATAGTAATAGTAATAGCAATAATAGTAATAGTAGTAGTAATAATGACAAAAACAATACAATAATAGTATCAACAATAAGAAATAGAAAATTCAATAACATTGTAGAAGATGAAGATGATATGCTTGATGCAATATTATCAGATAGGGAAGATCGTATGCTACCGTTAATTGGTCATTACTCAGCTGCAGAATTCACGGAGGATGAAGATTATGTATTGGACAGCAGTGTGATAGGTGGAAATAATAATGATGATGATTTATTTGATCGTTCAATAAGTAGAAGGCATAGTTTAGCTAGTAGATTTAGTGGCGGGAGTGGGGGTGGAAGAAATGCTAAATTAAAATTTAAATAATTATAATATAAATTATATATCTATTTTTTTATTTTTTTGTAAAATATTTTATTGCAGAAATTTACAACATCTCATCATCAACAACAACATTATTATTTTCTCACAAAAAAAAAATTTTTAATTCAATAGAAAAAAAATATATACTACTACATATAAATAATATTATAAAAATTTTCTTTTTTCTTTCTTTTTTATTATATTATATAATAGTTTTTTCATTTTTGTAAATAGTATTATTATTATATATATCATTGTTGTTGGCTGATGAATGAATAATAATATAATGACAATTATTCTTTACATTATTCTCTTAATAATCAATTAATAGAAAAAATAAACATTTTCCCACTAAATATCTAACTGACCAATTAAAAATTTTACCAACATTACTTTTCATCCTTATTTGTAAAAACCCATACAGTCATACCTCTTTTATATCTCCCCTTGTTTATATCCCATCCTTGATTAAATCCCACTGATGGGCCATGACGGATTTCCCTATATTATTTTGATATAAACTTTACCTCACTTATATCCCAACTGAGTTATATTCCTATCCCCAAATTTTTTGAAACGTTATATCCCCATTTTAACCTTATTTGTACATGATATACAAGTGTAACCAACATTTTAAATTTGAC